TGTGGAATATTTTCGTTATGCCGGAATGCTAGCATTTCCTAAAGGGATACTATATGGACATGCATACTTACATATATACATATATAGGGAAGTATGTTCTCTAAAGCATTTATGAAATCGGAGATGTGAGTATGAAAGGAAAACAAAATTGGCGATAAACAAAAATACAGAGTAAGGCAAAAGCATGTATACATACATATGTATGCACATAAATATGTATATAGTTATTCGCAGCTCAACGTCGATTAAGTCGCTGATAAGCAGAAACGCTGACCGCAGCAAAGTGACGTTTGAGAGTGAACCTTTGTTTAGTTGGTGATTTGATAGTGAACGATTTAGTGTGTGACTGATTGTGACAATAGACGGTACAAGTAGTAAATAAGTAGTGCATACGAAGAACGAAGAAGCAAAAAAGAAAATGCTTTCGCGCACAAAATTGCTCTTAGTATTGCTATTAGCGGTAGCAACAACAACTCAAGCAGCAATAATAACGTCGCTTAGTACATCGAAAATTTCGCCGGAAATGATCAACGAACTAAAAGATTTTCTTGACCTGATACCCGCGGCCATAGTGGACGAAATCGTCGCCAAGCACTACATCATCGATTCGAATTTCCGTGAAGTGCTCAATTATCTACGCAGCACGCAATTTACAGAGCTGATGCAGCAGGCCGAGCAAATACCCGAAGTTGCAGAGATTTTGGCGTATTTGCATTTGCTTGTGCCTGATGCTGAAGCTGATGCAGTCACTTCCAACCAAGGAGGCGCCACATATGGCACGGTGAATGCGAGGTCATCCGATGTGCAGCTGCAGCTTGAATCGCAACTCGATTTTGTATTGCTGAATGAGTTGAACGAAGAGGAGGATGAGGTGAAGAAGAGTAAGCAGGGCGATGCTGAGGCAATGCATTTGAGTTATGTTGCACTCGCCTCGCACTCAGTGCCGCCACCATATGCCCACCACTTACGCACGTTTAGCAGTTTTGTGGAGGAGCTTTTGAAGCACTTGCCTCGCGACCAATACGTGCAATTGATTAATCAAAAGCGTCAGCAGAATCTAGCGTTCGCGCAATTTTATGCAGCTTTGCGCAGCGCCGAGCTGCGTCCGATGGTCGATGTAGCGTTGGTGAGTACCTACGTAAACCCGGCTGTGTGTTATGCGTCATCGGCTGGCTGGCTGGTTGGATGGCTGACTAGATGCCGATTCGGTACAGCCACCGCCTGACATATTGCAAATTGAAAAGTTTACGCATCACTGCTGATTTGTTTTTGTTCTTTTTTTCTCTCTTCTATGCTCTTCACTTTGCTTTCGCTTTGCATGCCATTTTGCAGAAATCTTCTAATCTAACGACAATAATTAAAACGCTGACTTCCAACGGTGTCGATGTGCAGAGCTTGGAGGCCACTGCATTTAAAGTGATTTCCTGGGGTCCCGTACCAATAGCTGTGTCAGGTTTTAAAAGGATGCGCACTTTGGCATTTATCTGGAGCACGCATTTACAATATTGATTGAAATGAGCGCAGTGAAAGCAAGAAATTTGCTTTTCAATTGAAATAATGCGCTACGATTTTAGGCCGTTGTATGTATGTATGTTAGTATTTATAAAACTTTATAAAGCTGAAAATGGATGTAACTATCCAATAAACGACGTTGAAGTAAGCGTGCTTATGAATAAATATTTCCCAAACGTTTTTTACAAGTTATTCACAAATTTTCAATAATCTGCAAATTTTTTACAATTTGTTAATGTTGCTGATATAAATGTGAAGTAAGGTAAGTTCTATGCTCTCATAGTCTGAGCCATGGTGAAATCATAATAAGGTGTGATCGATAGCAACATGTTTGTTGTGATTTTGACAAAGTCGGATGTCTTATTGGCGGTGTTGCCGATCCTCCTTTATATGATACTATTTGTATCGAGAAATAGTATCTAAAATCCTCAATTTTTGGTTTAAAGCAGTTTTTCAAGAAATTAGTGTTTTTAGAAAATATTATTATTTAAAATGGCTGGCTTGGTAATATAAAAATCGTATGAAAATTCGATTTTTAATAAGATAGATTAAAACACATTAATATGTATAACAAATAACAAGAGTTATAGGTTTATGTATGATCAAATCTAGTGGAACTATCGACTCAAACATATAGTCAGGCTTAAAATCCTATAATACACTACATTTTAAAATGGTATGCACAAACGTAGTAAAAGTTGTAAATATTTAGTACTTTTTCTACTCCCTCTAAATGCGTGACCGGAATAGAAATGCCGAAAAAGTGCAGTGAATCTACTGATCACACCTTCTTATGATTCCACCATGGTCTAAGTTAGACATTTCAAAACAATTTCGATTTTAGTAACTACTGAAGATTATTCACTCAAAATTGACATTTACAATAATTTTTAGACGAAAAATAAGAATATTATAAAAGTTTGGGAAAAGGGCGTGGCACCGCCCACTTATGATTACATACATATATGTTCTCGGTAACCGTTCTACCAATTTGTACCAAATTCGGTACGGTTTTTGTGCTTGCCACATAAAAAAAAAAAAAAAAAAAAAAATATTGAAATCGGACTTAAATTACGGCCACTTTTCATATAACGGTCAATAAATGCTTGCAACTTCTATATTTCCAGATTTAAGGTCGCTAATTAACTCAAAATTTATACTAACAACAATCCTTTGAAAAGAAGTAATGGATTTTTGGAAAATAGGTGCGATACCGCCCACATATGACTATAAAAGTTTATCTCATTATATCTAACTGAACGTTCTATTGAAGATGTTTAAAATAGGGGTAAAACCGCCCCTGCTTTCCATGTAGCGGCAGTTTTCGGAAAGAAGAAAAACATATCGTCGTTTAAAGTACAAAGCCGCGTATCAACACAATGCAAAAACCGCGTATGTGCATAAATTATTTTCTAGTGATTAAAAACACTTATATTTCAAAATGGTTCTCTTTTCTATAATAATAATATAATAATAATATAATAAAATTATTCAATAGCATTTCTGGCTAGTATATTTCAGGGCGAATGGATAAGGTTTGAGCCAGGAGCTTGTGTGAGCAAATCTAATTTTTGGCAGCGAATGTCAGTTATGTGGTTTTTCAGAATGACGATAAGCGGTTTTGTACTTTTTATTCAGTATTGTTTATTTTACATTTTGTATTTCGTATTTTTTATAACGTATTATTCATTTGTCGGAACCGGCAAAGTCAGATCAAAAGGATTGCTCAGATATGAGGTTTTTTTATATAACTCCTCTATCTATATATGTATGCAGTGAAGGTAAACATTTTGTTAAGCCCCCAAACAACTAAATTAAAACAGCTGAAAGTATAATTGTATTTGCTTGGTAAAATAACCAATTTTGTTACGCAAACAGCAAAACTTCCAAACATACGTAAGCCTTAGCATCTTTGTCCCGAACAACAAAAGCACAGGATTTAAAACTTAAATAATCTGCTGAATTTCTACTTGAAGAGACTGCTGCAGACTTCAAGAGGCAGCGTAAAATAACAAATCACATCACAAACACCCCGTGAACACACAAATTCGCTTGCTGTACAACCGACCAACTGTGCCACTCCCGCCACCAACTCCCTCCCAGATGACTCTACAATGACCCGCTTAACGCTAAACTATATTCAATTTGCACTCATTTGCATTACACTGTTTTCGGCGGCGGCGGTTGCACTTCTTGTGGCTGCAACTGTGGCCGCGGCTGTGTGTTTGGATATTATGCAAATTGTATTGCGCACTTTTAGGCGCACAAGTGCCAGTAAATCTTGTAATTGTTTTTTTTTTTACGGACCCACACTCTTGTTAGCTGGATGTACTAGTAGATATGTAAATTCTTACATTGGTGTATGTGAATGTGTCGCAAAATATCACCGCACTTTCTTTCGTGTTTTACATTTTACAACCAACGAAAAGGGCAGATTTCTAAGCGCAGACCAAACAAATGTCTTAAGCGGCGTGAGTTTGTTTTTGGTTTTTTTTTTGTCGGAACGAGAAGGAGCAATGGAAGAAAAGTAAATTTTTTGCATAGCCAAAAGCGCAGCTCGGGTCGCCCAGCGCTAAGGGAGGTGACTGCGGTGTGTCAAGCATAATCGCCCATTGGACAAGGCCACAAGTGCACTTGAGCACTTTTTGAAATGAAATGGAAATGAGCGTGACGCCTGGCGGGTTTGCGAAGGTAATCAGGCGCGCCAAGAATTTTGTGACGCTGTGGGAGTGAGGCCATCATCGGAGGAACAGCTGTCTCCGACCGACTGAATTACTTTTACTTGTAACTACTTCTACAACAAATCTACTGGGTGTACAAGCTGCTGTTGCATGGACCTCTCAGGTTGTTTAGTTGCTGGTAACAGAATACTTAAGCATGCTCCAACAAGTATGTGCACGTTCATCTCCATATGTACTACGTATCTATGTACAAACATATATTGATGTATGTATGTTTGGGTATTTTATACGTGTTTCTGGGCATTTGAAAATTATGCTATGTCTTTCTTAGCACTTTGCCTGCATTTGGAAACATACATACAATATGAGGATGTAGTATGTGGTAATGCATTTGAGCACACACCTTGAATGACTTTAGGAATTAGAATTTCAAAAATGAAATTCTGTCTCATGACTTACAGAGACCTATAAAAATCAAGTAGCACTTTGTGCGGCACAGTGCTGCAAATCTAATTATTTTATGAACAAATAATATGTGGAATGATCATTTTCCTTTCTTTGGTGCAAAGCCTTTGCATATAATAAATAAATGATTTTACATAGAATTAGTGCAATTATGATGCATTTCTGGCGTAATTGAGGCCCAAATTTACAAGAAGGTCGACTTTAATACCCTGGGGACTTTCGAGAATAAAAATCTTTTTTTTGGTTTTTCTCAATTGTTATTCAGATAAAAATGTTATGAGCTTGGAGATATCTAGAAGTCTGTCAAACATATTTTATTTAGTTCAACAGATTTATAAAATTCAGTTTATTTATTTTTTAAATACAATAAAGACTAGAAAAATTCAATAATTTTTTTTTAGATTCCAAAATTTTATGGTGCACACTTCTTTGATATATTTCTTAGTTTTACTCCAATGCACACTTTATTTGTCCCACAGTGCAACGAATGCATTTAGCTACGCCAAGTCCATTTGTGCGCAATATGTCCTGCCGGCAGCTCTGCATGGAAGGCTACATTCTGTAGCTGCCGCATATGCAAGTACATATGTATTATGTATGTATGTAGGTGTGCATGTACATATGTACGGTTAACAACTGCAGCATGCCACACGAAATCGTGGAGGTTGCGGCAATGTTAACGATGATGCCTGTAGCTGTAAGTAGAACAAATCACAAATTTGTAGTGTCGGAAAAATATGGGCGCATGGCGCTTTGGGTGGGTGGGTGTGCAGTACCAGTGGCGCACGGCTCTCATAATGAAGACATACAACATTATATGCATACATATTTAGGTATGTGCGTGTGTGTGTGATAGGGACATTCTGAGCGTTCGTTGCCGCTTGGTTGCGTGAATGTAGAGATGTAAGTGTGGCTGTTTGTTTTTACTGCGGTACGTGTAAAACTATGCGAATGTCTTCATTTCACATTCCAGCGATGGCTACGGCCGAGACTGCTATCGGCGTGGCACACGTGGTGTACGTTTGTATGTTTGTTTGTTTGTAAATAGAAATGGCGGTTGGAAAAATACTGGCTGGAGAGTAATAGTACTTACTTGCACTACATATGTATGTACATAAATACTTCATAAAGATATTATCCATGCACCTACATATACACAGCCATACATACACGTATACATATATGGGCGGATATATGAAATTTGTGTTTAAACGCATTTTTCTGTACATTTTACATTTTTCCTATCGCCTGCATCTGGGGACATTCCTGTCATCAGCACAAGACCCACCATGCTTATACCTATTGGCCTCTATCTCCTACCTCTACCTCCATTCGGTTGCTCTCATTTCTTTGATTTCTTTTAGTCACTTGGCGACTTTGGAAAATTATGCAAAACTATTTGTGTATTCACGATGTTGACAGGTTTTTAGTATATTTTTTTTTTTCGCCCACATAAACTAATGACTTATTCCTTTGAGGACTACTGAGTGTGTACAATTGAGTTGGCGCCTCCTTCTCGATTTAGCGCACACTTGTATTTGTGTCACGTGCTCAGTGAATTGAAGCGTTGAAATAAAATAACATAATTAGTTTTTCTACGAGTATATATGTACCTATGTATTCTCTTTAGATGTTATTAAATTTTAAAGGAATTTGTATTAAACATCAGCAAATCTGGTTCTGGTTTTAATTTCGAGGCGAGTTTTTGCTCAATGAAAATAGTTGATTCTGTAGATTACTGATGTCACATTATATCAATTAGGTTAGGCTAGCTTGTCTGAGGTTCTAGTCAAATTTTATATGTAAGCCGTTTTAAAAGAGTTCTGGTACATAAACATCGATATACATAAATATCATAATATAAAATCCGACCGTAAATGTCGTAGATTTGACCAAAAAAAAAAATACTTTAGACTCAGAGGTATAAGGCGAACTTTTTTTCTGATACGGTCTAATACACGTACAAAGATTATGAATATACATACTTTCACTGTTTTCTGATTTAACTAATTGATTTTATGACAAAT